TATGAAAATAACTTCTCTGAACTACAGTTTATTAGGAGTGTCCAATTTTTTGGCTGCCCTGGGCCATACTGGAAGGAGAACTGTCTTGGGCCATACATAAAATACACTAACAATTGCTAATGAGCCTAAAAAAATATTGGCAAAAAATCTCTCTCTTTTTTTTCTTTTTTAAGACTGAGTCTTAGTCTGGTGCCCAGGCTGGAGTATAGTGGCACAATCTCAGCTCATTGCAATCTCTGCCTCCCAGGTTCAAGTGATTCCCCCACCTCAGCCTCCCCAGTAGGAGGGACTACAGGCCTGTGCCTCCATGCCTGGTGAAACCTCATCTCTACTAAAGACAATTTTTTTAAAAAAAAAATTTTGTAAAAAATACAAAATGTTTGCGTTTTTTAGTAAAGACGAGGTTTCACCATGTTAACCAAGCTGGTCTTAAACTCCTGACATCAGGTGATCCACCTTCCTCAGCCTCCCAAAGTGCTGGGATTACAGGTGTGAGCCACCATGCCTGGTCAGAAAAACTCATAATATTTTAAGAAAGTTTAGCCCGGCATAGTGGTATGTGTCTGTAATCCCAGGTACTAGGGAGGCTGAGGCTGGAGAATTACTTGAACCTGGGAGACGGAGGCTGCAGTGAACCGAGATCACACCACTGTACTGCAGCCTGGGTGACAGAGCAAGACTCCATTTCAAAAAAGAAAAAAAAAAAACTTTACGAATTTGTGTTAGGTCTTATTCAAAGCCCATCCATCCTGGGCCGCAAGCAGCCTGCTGACCACAGGTTGGACAAGCTTGGTTGAAATCAAAAGAAGCATGCAATAATTACAGTGACAAACACTCTTGTTTAGAAAATCACCATGTAAGGTTACATTTGTGGTTGTTTATAATCTTGCTTGAAACTATGAAAAGAGTGTTTAATTGCTTCTCTGAAGAGGACCAAGTATAATCTAATCTATTTAGAAAGGTAATTATTAAAAGCAGCAACTGTTTCAGAGAAGGATTTTACAAGTTCATGCAAACTCCATACCTCCCCCAAGAAAAAACTTGGCCTTTTTAAGTACAAAGAGGAGATATTATGCAGACAAAAATACTCTGACTTTGTCAATGAGGGCAAATATGACATTTACCATTCATTAACGTTTACAATTTGCTAGCCACAGTTCCAGGCATTTTACACTCATGATTTCATTTAATCCTCTTAAACTCTCAATGGGTATGATTATCCCTGTTTAACAGATAAGGAAACTGCTTTTTGGAGGTTAATTTCTGATAATTTGCCAAAAATCCCACAGCTTATAATGCACAAAAGCAGAATTTCAACGTATGTCTATCTAATTTTAAAGCCCAAGCTTCTAACCTTGAAATCAGTAGTGTTGAGTAAAACTGCAACCTTCTGATATTGTAAATATGGATGGCTTTCAAGTTGTCCCTATAGTGCTATTTTGGAACTGCTTTATTTTTCATTGCTGACACAGGCAAAACACTAATACTTGTTCATTGAATAAAAGAACTGTACTCTGACCCTCCTTTCATTTTATTTTTTTGAGAGAGGGTCATCTCTGTCACCCAAGCTGGTGCAATCACAGCTCACTGAAGCCTTGAACTCCTGGGCTCAAGGAAACCTCCCATCTCAGCCTCCCAAGTAGGTGAGATTACAGGCACATGCCACCATGCCCAGCTAAAAACTTTTTGTAGAAATGAGATCTCCCTATGTTGCCCAGGCTGGTCCCCAACTCCTGTCTTTAAGCTATCCTCCCACTTTGGCCTCCCAAAGTGCTGAGATTTACAGGTGTGAACCACCGCACATGCCCAGACCCCCATTTAAAAAATTTACAAAATCAATAAATTAGGTGTTAAGCAAGTCCAACTGGAATACAAAGGGAAAAGAATAAAAGCATTAAGCAACTTTGCAGATTTCTAATCATCTACTTGTGCCATTTTTATTGAACATTTACTATGTGCCAAAAGGAAGATGCCATATATTGGTAATATAAGGAGGATTCAGTCCCCGCCCTGGGCATCAAGAAAACAGATAAATTATAACTCAACATGTTAAGTGCGGTCAGGGAGCGATCCACAAAGTTCTGTCCGAACACAGGTTACCAACATTCAACTTAACTTGTATGGGAGTCAGAATGGTTTACCAAGTACTTAAGTATCTGACATGTGAGCAGGGATGTACAGGAAAATTGTTTTCTGGGTGAAGGAGGAAATAGAGAAGAAAGGGCTTTCCATGTAGATGCTTGAAGTTGAGTAAGTACCTGACAAAATCTCAGGACAGGGGCTCTGTGTATGAGCAAGCATGTGTATGCGCATACGTACAGCAATTGGTATAGGAACTAGAAAAGGTACATTGAAGGCCTGTAATCTAAACACTTTGGGAGGCCAAGGCAGGTGGATCACCTGAGGTCAGGAGTTTGAGACCAGCCTGGCCAACACGCTGAAACCCCATCTCTACTAAAAATAGAAAAATTAGCTGGGTGTGGTGGCACATGCCTGTAATCCCAGCTGCTTGGGAGGCTGAAGCAGGAGAATCACTTGAACCCAGGAACTGAAGATTGCTGTGAGCCCAGACAGCGCCACTGTACTTCAGCTTGGGTGACAGAGTGAGACTCTCTTTCAAAAAACAAAATAAAACAAAAAACCCAGACAGATGGTTCTTGGCCTTCCAAAACTAAGAGGTTTGGATTTTATCCCGTAACAAGGTCAAAAAAGTTTTAAGCACGTTTGTTTTTAGAAAGTAACTGACAATAGAGAATTGATTGGAGGCCAGGCGTAGTGGCTCACGCCTGTAATCCAAGCACTTTGGAGGCCAAGGCGGATGGATCACCTGAGGTCGGGAGTTCAAGAACAGCCTGACCAACATGGTGAAACCCTGCCTTTAAAAAAAATATATATAAATACACACATATTAAAATATTTATATATAAAGAAAAAAAGAAAATTGATTGGAGTAGGGAGAAATGGGTGACAGACACTAAAGAGAAATAGTCCCTGGGAAAGATTATAGGGATCTAAAGAATAAGGAGTAATAAAGGAAGGGACAATTCTGGCATAGGATAAACAAGATTTGGTGACCAACTGGAAATAGGTGATGAAAAAAGACACAAAACAAAGACATGAAGATTTACACTTTAGGCAACTGAGCTGAGAGGGAAGCCATTAAGATTGAGAAACAGGGGCACACTGGGCAGAACAAAATGAATTCCACCTTCAACCTGGAAGACATCCAGGTTGAGGGATGCATATTCTCTGGCTTAGGGTCAAACAAACAGCCAACCATTTTCTCCTATCTAGGATACAAGGAGAGACTAGTCATTTCCCACAGTTATCCAACCCTTCCGAGCTTCTGACTGCCCTCAAGGTCCCATGCTTTCCCCCACACATAGAGAAGCCGTTTCATTTCCCTCCCCAAACCTGTCTCACTAATGCACTTTTATAGCATGGGGAACCTCAAGCAGTAAAATGGATTTCGGTAGCTCCCCAGTCTATTCTTCCTTCCATCTAAACAGACCGCACAGAAACTCAAAACATAAGCATTATCTTTCTATCAAACTCTCTTTCCCGATTTTAACCAAATAAATATGAAGAATCTGTTAAATTAGCAATCAAAAAAACTAAGCCAGAATACTAACTTACTACATTTACTTATAAGAAATACAATTGTCAAAGAAGCAGCTCTCACCCAAAAAAATAGCCCATTATATCCCTGGAGCAGACTTAGACTGAAACTTAAACACTGTTTTGATCCCAACAGTGCTTACTGAAATGCCAAGAAATTAAAATAGTAATTAATGTTGCCACTGATTACTATGTAACTCTGGGTCACTATTTATTAGTAACACAAGATTGAGGACTTCAAAAATGAGTGATGATTGCTAAGGGTACCTTAGGGTTATCTTCCCTATTCTACTTTCGAAATATGGGAGAAAAGGGCGATTATACACAAAAATACATTCTCAGCTGGAAAGCTACAATATATCATCACAATAAGCAAAAATAAAAATAGAAAAACATGCCCATGTTTCGAACATACTCAAGACAAAAAGAGCAAAACTCACTAAATGTTTATGAGTTATTTCAACTGTTACAAAAATAGAAAACACACATACAATTCTTTAAACTGTGTCAAAATACAGGAAGATAAGAATGAGATCAGCCCCCAAGCTGAGGGCAAAGTAAGTGGTGGGCATGGATAAACCAAACAAAAATAAACTCGACTTAACGTAGGAACAGTTTCACTCTACTGTACTTTGAATGTCCAGAGTACTTAAAGGGAAGGGAACCAGGACTCTTCCCCTGGCTCTCAGTGGTCTTTCGTCTTAGAAAGTCTGTTGAGAAGAGGCAAGAGGACGTGTGTGAAGAAAAAAGGGAGGAGCAGTATTCCTTTGCGACCTGTCCGCGTCTCCTGACTGATGGAAGCAGGGACCAAACGCACGTTCCCAGGGTCTTAGAAAAGCCCTCCCTCCCTCGGTCCAGCTGTTACCTTCCACTTCCTCCGTGCCCTCCATCAGCATATCCTTTGTAAAGTTTGAAATCTGGCCAGTGAGAGAAGCCAGGCTGCCCCCGACTTGACCTAGAGACTGGCCTAATCCGGAGCCGAGGCCCCCAAGCCAGGACGACATCGCGGCGAGTTTATAGAGAACGACCTAATCCGCTCGGAAACAAAAAAACGTTTAGCGCCGTCGAACGATCCCACCAAATATCCTTGGTCGCCTGCCTTGGAGAGACTAGTCGAAAACACTCAGGATTCGATAACACAAAGCGGGGTTCTCAGGCAACGCCGGCTCCGGGTTCTGCCTAGAAACGCGGAGGCCTGGCCTGGAATTTTACCAGGGGCCTGCCTCTAGTGACACAGTCACCCATGGAGGGCCTTCTGCTCATTCCCACGAATTCCCACCGTCCAGATTGGGCCACTTCTTCCTCTGCTCTAGTGAGTGCCCCCAGTTTCGTGGTCTACTCCTGCCAACTCGACCCAGACCGCCATGACACTAGCTCAGAAAGCGGCAGAGGATCATAGAAAGGCGCCACGGTGGCGTAGACAGGCCCCGCGACGCCGCCGGATGTGTCCTTGGCGCAAGGGAGGCTGGGAGCGTGGAGGACCGAGCGCGGACTGGACTGAGAGCTGCCGGCGCCCTGCGCAAGGTTAGGCCGCGAGTGGAATAGCCGGGGGAACCCGGGCATCACGGCGCTCCTCGGCCTCCTGCGGCTGCGTTTCAAAGCAGAGCCGACACTTGGTGGGTATCCCGGGGACCCTGCGGACCCTCCTTGTGTTGTTGAAACCGAGTATTTTTAAAATTTATCTTTTTCTTTTTTTTCTTTCTCTTTTTTTTTTGAAGACGGGGTTTCACCATCTTGGCCAGGCTGATCTTGAACTCCTGACCTCAGGTGATCCGCCCGCCTCGGCCTCCCAAAGTGTTAGGATTACAGGCGTGAGCCACCACACCCGGCCCAAACCGAGTGTTTTAATTGGGACTACACCCAGCGAAGCCGGGAGACTTGGCGGGGACGTTCCACTGTGCAGGAAGCGGCTTCAAATAACTCACACGCGTCACTGTATCGATTAGCTGCTCCGTGACAGGCGCTATGGTAGGAACTGAGACTACAAAGATAGAAAGGGTGGGTTGCAAAAAAATAAAATAAAGGATGGGTTGCAAATTCAGGTGTCCAAGCAGGAAACACACTTGCCCTCTATAGGAGAAATCTCCTCTGGTGGCTTTCTAGCTCACAATTGAAACCCTACCTTCTTTGACATACGATGAGCTTTTTTCATTAAGCTGCCCTCACCCAAGTAGTTGAAAAATGGACAACCTTTTTTTCAAAATGACTCGTTAGAGGACAGCAGGGCAACTTGATAGAGAAGTGCCGTTTAGTGTCAACGCACCCATGGTATTGGCCGCACTAGCTATGCAGATACCCACACTGTGGCCGTAACACAGTGTCCTGCCTGGCCTGCCTCCTTCCCTAAAGGAAGAAAAGCTGTCATGTGACTTTCAAGCAATTGGTGCATGATACGTGGACACACAGCATCTAGCCAGGGAGACTTACACATATTTTGGTTTCAAAAGGATGTGATTGGTCTGCAGTTCTTTTAGCATAGCAATAAGTATGCTGGCATCTTTCACTTTGATTTTATTCACAAGGCGGGCTACCACAGATCGCACAGTTTGTGAATAGAACACTGGGAATGCCTCCAGTATTTGGGATCTGATGGCACCGGGCAATAGTTGTTCTCCCTGAAAGCTGAAATTATTTATTTTATTTTTTTACATTCAGGAGTCACCCTGGATATCTGAATGTGCTTAAAATCAAATTTACCTCTCATTCTGAAAGTGTTTGTTAAATGCTTTCCCTGAATTCATGTGAAAGACATCACAGCCCAGTGGTTAGATGTGCAGAATCCGAGGCCTGACTGCTTGGGTCTGTCACTTATTAGCTGTTTGACCCTGGATGGGTTACTTAACCTTTCTGTGCACTGGTTTCTCAAAGTAAAGTGGAGAGTGGTAATAGTAGTGCTTAACTAGGTGGGATTGTATCAGGATTAAATGAGGTAGTATTTGTAAGTACTTGAAACAGTGCCCGGTATATGGTGACTTCTATTTAAGTGTTTGCAAAGCTTTTTAAAATGTGGCATACCGATGATAAACAACTTGTTAATGTGCTTACCATTGTTCTGGGAACAGGATACAGCAAGAGGAAAAAAAATTCAGTACTTCATCTTATGAAGCTTTCATTCTACTGGGAAGGTATAGATACTAAATAAAATGAAATAAATTTAAGACAGGTGGTGATGGCTACTGTCAGGGTATAAGTGGGGGCAGACAAATAAAACAGGGTGAGGCCAGACCCGATGGCTCACACCTGTAATCCCAAGCAATTTGGAAGGCCGAGGCAGGAGGATCACTTGGGCTCAGGAGTCGGAGACAAACCTGGCCAACATGGCAAAACCCCATCTCTACCAAAAAATACAAAAATTAGCTGGGCATGTTGGCACCCAGCTGTAGTCCCAGCTATTAAGGAGGCTGAGGTGGGAGGACTGCCTGAACCTGGGAGGTCGAGGCTGCAGTGAGCCATGATCATGCCAGTGCACTCCAGCCTGGGCAACAGAGCAACAGACCCTTTTCAAAAAAAAAAAAAGAAAAGAAAGCAGGTTGAGGATGACATAGGAAGGATGTGTGGAGAGGGGATACTTGTAATGTTGTAGAGGGTGATCAAGGAAGGCCTCACTGATAAAGTAATCTTTGCACAGAAACTTGAAGGAAGCAAGAGAGTCAGACATCTCGGCTGCTTATGCCTGTAATCCCAGCATCTTGGGAGACCAAGAGGGGAGGATCACTTGAGCCCAGGAGTTCAGAGCCCAGGAGACCAGCCTGGGTAACATAGCAAGACCTCATCTCTATGAGAAACTAAAAAAAAAAAAAAAATGCTGGGGTGCAGTGGCTTATGCCTGTAATCCCAGCATTTTGGGAGGCCAAGGTAGGTGGACCCCCTGAGGTCAGAGTTCAATACCAGCCTGGCCAACATGATGAAACCCCATCTCTACTAAAAATACAAAAATTAGGAGTGGGGTGGCGGGCATCTGTAATCGCAAGCTACTTGGGAGGCTGAGGCAGAAGAATCACTTGAACCCAGGAGGCAGAGGTTGCAGTGAGCAGAGATCACAGCACTACATTCCAGCCTTGGCAACAGAGTGAGACTGTGTCTCAAAAAAAAAAAAAAAAGAACGAGACATGTAGGTATTTGGGAATCCAGGCAGAAAGAAATAGCTGATGCAAATATCTTGAGACAGGAGAATCCTTGGCAGATTAGAAAATTAGAAGGAAGGCAAGGATGGCTAGTACAGAATGGGCTGGAAATGGTTTGCAAGCAATGAGGACCCAGAAGTATGGGTGTTAAAGTGAGGAGATCACATAGGGAAACTGTCTCAAAAAAAAAAGAAAATCAAGAATTCTGTCGATTGGCTAGACTCAGTTCTCTCTACCCAAGACCCTATTTTCCTGCTGTAATCTCTGATTATTTGCTGTGCCTTGTTTTTTTCCAAGAAGCTTGTCATATCTTATCTTTATATCTGATTCTCTGAAATTAATAATGATGTGCTTTGATGTGGCTTTTTGTTTCATACATTATGCTGGGCACCCTGAGCCCTTTCCAAAAGAGCTTTTAGTTCTGCAAATTATTTATTTATTTATTGAGACAGAGTTTTGCTCTGTTGGGATTACAGGTGCCCAACACCATATTCAGCTAATTTTTTGGTATTTTCACCATGTTGGCCAGGCTGGTCTTGAATCCCTGACCTCAGGTGATCCACCCGCCTCGGCCTCCCAAAGTGCCGGGATTACAGACATGAGCCACCTCATGGCCACAAATTATATATATATATATGTGATGAATGTTTCCTTTCTAAGGAATCTGCTATTTCTTTTTCTTTTTCTTTTTTATTTTTTTAAAGATGGGGTTTCACCATGATGGCCAGGCTGGTTTTAAACTCCTAACCCCAGGTGATCCACCCACTTCAGCCTCCCAAATTGCTAGGATTACTAGGTGTGAGCCACCGTGCCCAGCAGGAATCTATTTCTTTTTTTCTTTTCTTTTCTTTCTTTCTTTTTTTTTTTTTTTTAAGACAGAATCTCCCTCTGTCACCCCAGGCTGGAGTTCAGTGGCACAATGTCAGCTCACTGCAATCTCCACCTCCTGGGGTCAAGGGATTTTCCTGCCTCAGGCTCCCGAGTAGCTGGGATTAGAAGCACCCACCATCATGCCCGGCTGATTCTGCTGTTTCTTTCATAGAGTTTTAGCCACACCTCCTGATTTCAGTCTACATCTAACCCTCACCTCCCAGGATACTTGTTGCTGTCCTTTCCTGCATACTGCTAGAAACTCTTGAACACCAGTATTCAGCTTCCTGGTTCTGCTCATTCCTACATCAACTTGTCATCTTCCAAAAAAAAAAAAAAAAAAATTAGCATGTCTCTTCTGTCGTCTCACCTGGAAATGACTGCTAATTGTTCCCCAAAGTCTGTTCTCCCCTTCGTATATAGTAATTGAGCCCCCATTTTTTACCTGGATGCATGACAGCCAAGACGCCAGTGCCCCTATTGCACCCCTCATCCCTTTACCACGTTTGTGCACACCAGCCAGCACGTGTGTCATTGTCAGCAGACTGCCTCCAGGCTACTGGAGCCCATACTTTCTAGGTGCCCAGAAAGCTGAAACGCAACCTTATTCAGCAGGTGTTCAAAATTATATGCAGTTTGCCTGTCCTGTTTTGGACTAAGATGTGAATATCCTTCCTCTGGACTGTCTGCAAGACTGAGTCTTTGCTTGATATGATCCCCTTGCTTGGCTTCCTCCCTTCCTATTTCCACTTTCTTACTCCCCTGTGTCCTTTCCACTTCTTCCTGGAGTACTTTTTTTTTTTTTTTTAATACCCGCTCCCCTTCCTGGAGTACTTTTAAAAAATTATTTTCAACCAGACACAGTGGCTTATACCGGTAATCCCAGCACTTTGCGGGACTGAGCCAGGCAGATCACTTGAGGTCAGCAGTTCGAGACCAGCCTGGCCAACATAGTGATACACCGTCTTTTCTAAAAATAGAAAAATTAGCTGGGCATGGTGGCAGACACTAGCTACTCAGGAGGCTGAGACAGGAGAATCACTTGAACCCGGGAAGTGGAGGTTGCGGTGAGCCGAGGTCGCACGACTGCACTCCAGCCTTTGAGACAGAGCAAGACTCTGTCTTAAAAAAAAAAAAAAAAAAAAAAAAAAAAAATTAAGTGGTATGCACAACTTTGAGAAAGTAACCCAAAAGAAAAGACACATAGCCTTTTTCTGATCTTCTTTGTTTGTTTGTTTGAGATAGGGTCTTACTCTGTTGCCCAGGCTGGAGTTCAGCCTCCTGAATAGCTGAGACCACAGGTGCATGCCACAACGCCCGACTAATTCATTTTTATTTGTTGTAGAGATGAGGTCTCCCTATGTTGCTCAAGCTAGTCTCAAACTCATGGGCTCAAACGATCCTCCCACCTTGGCCTCCCGAAGTGCTGGGATGACAGGTGTGAGCCACCAAACCTGGCCTCCTTTCTCTTTCTGCAGCATGGGCACCAGCACAGCCATATTAGATCCATGAGCTGACCTTAGCCATGGAAGCCGTGTTATGTACAGCCATTATGTCAGAGGTGTGTAAACCAGAGCAACTCCATCTTAAATAGGAGCTGGGTAAAATGAGGCTGAAACTTA